CATGTTTTTTTTTTAATCCTCTTCACCCACAAAATCATTAAGGGGAAAGTGGAGCGCCATGTGCTTAACTTCAGAATTTAAAATGGAAAGAATCAAAGGAGTCTACCGTGAAACAAACAGCATCAAGAGCAAGAACTAGAATGAGATGACTAAAATGTATGTCCCTTGAGAAAAATTTAACTGAATAAGATGGTAATTTAAAAAAAAATAAAAGAAGCAACCAATGGCAAATAAACCTCTCATTCATTAACTAGGCAGCCATCTTTGGGAAGGGAACTAGTTAAACCTTTATGAACAGGTATAATTGTCTGTTGCTGACAGATTTATGCTTCTATTTCTGACTTTAAAGTGTGCTCTATTATAGTATCATTGATATGCTCTCAGCTTTTTATTAATGTGGATAAATGGATCAAGATAAAATTCCTATTATTTTCTGCCTGTAGAAAAATTATGTAAAGTACATATTAGTAAAATCTACATTATTTCTGTATCCAGATTTTTTTGTACTTCTATGAATATTAGCACTTTTAAATTTAGTTTACTGACTGTAATAAATATATGCTTATTCAATGTTGGACATAAGTTGGGAAACTGCATTATGTATTTGATTGTACCAGTTTTTTGATGAGTTTTACCATATCATTTTTAAGGGAACACCACAAAAAGATGTCATAATAAAAAATGATGCTCCATCAACATTATTGTTAGAGAAGCATGGAGACTACATAGCTGCTTATGGAACGAAGAAAGATGATTATGTGAGTATTCTGTTTATATAAATAGTATTCATTTAGCTCTCTATAGAACATGTAAATATATATATGGAATATAGGAGGGGTTTTCTTTTAATTTAATGTTAAATTTTTATGCTGCACATCTACCCTATGAGGCAACTCTGATGAACATTGCAGATGGTATCTTTAGGTCAATGATGTAATCTGGCATGTATTATCTGACTTCAGAGCTGTAGAAGTCACTTTAGAATGACACTGAGACCTAAAAATCCCATTTTAAAATTATTTGAACATATTTTCATGTTTAATACTTATTTCTGGTTTTTAAATGTTCTTTGCTTAAAAATTTGGAACAAAATAATATGCTACTTTAGCTCATTATAATTGTTAATTATAGGAATATTAGCCCATGATAGCCAAAATCTGGTAGCACCTTTCCAGGCTAACAGATTTTATTAAAAGGCATAGGTTTTGGGGAACCATAGCTCATTTAATCAGATGCATGTGATGTAAATTGGTTGGGATGGGGGATGGGTGAGAAGGAGGAGACAGGATGATTATACAAATGGCGCTATGAGACAGACTACCAGTACTTAGCATTTAACAATTGTCAGTTTTAAGGATTTATATATTCACAATTATTAGTTTAATCAATGAATATATAATTGGGAACTTTTAGCAATTTTCAAAACATTCTAGGTGCAAATTGTTCCATGCCTTGAACAGACATTTCTGTACCTGAATGAAATCATACTTGTTTTAGGCTCTTCTGTGCTCGCAGATTTAAGGAAGAATCCTCAGTGTATGCTTGGTAAAGAAATGAAAGTTCCTTGGAAATTCTTTTCCTAATCATCTAAGTTAAATAGTCATGCTGCCTTTTACGTTTATTATTTCTTTAGATTCTTTAGATATTCGATTAGAAACTAATATAAATGATGCTTATTTCAGGAATACTGCATGTCAGAATATTTAAGAATGAGTGGTGTCTATTGGGGATTGACAGTAATGGATCTCATGGGGCAGCTTCATCGTATGAACAAAGAAGAAATTCTGGCATTTATCAAATCATGCCAACATGAATGTGGTGGAATAAGTGCCAGTGTAGGCCATGATCCTCATCTTTTATATACATTAAGTGCTGTTCAGGTAAATATATACATTATGTATACAAATTTGCTAATGGCTTATCCATAGTGTTAATGTCTAAATGAATTGTTTTCTAGACTCCAAGATACAATTTTTTTAAAAAGTAATTCCTTCCATTTACTGAGTTTCAAACTCAAATAAAAGGTTCAGCTTATTGTTTTGTCTTAAGCTTTTAAATTGGGAAAATGTAAAGTACAGTTGAGTGTTTGATTATTGATTGATTTGTATGTCAACCCATCTTATGTAGCCTGGACAGTCATAACAATGATGTCATCAACCAACTTTGACAAGATTAAGTAAGTTCCTGTATCTAAGAATACTGATGCTTTTAACACAAACCATTATAGCTTCTTGGGTCAGTGATGAAAAGATGTTTATCTGAATCTATAGTTGATGTGGTTTAACACTTAGCTCTAGAATTACTCTGAGACCTGAGAACTTATTTTTTTAAAAAATAATTTATGTATTTTCTGGATTCTGTCAGAGCAATCTAATTCTTGAATCTTAATTCAAAACACCAGAATATCTTAGACCTGGATAAATAAATCAGCTGCCTTCCAAATTATAGCTCATATAATCTTAAACAACACATACATACGTAAAGTACATGCAAGACAATATATTAAATCATCTGCCTTCTGTTAAGTTAATCAGATGGGAGCTGCAATGATTACCGTAGATAAAATGCCAAATAAGCATAAGGAAGAGGGGAGGAAATGTAGATCTTACATCTTAATAAATTCTATTTATTTTGCACTCTTAATTGTTGCATACCGACACATGTCTGGAGTAGTAATATCATCATACAAATTAACTAGTTGATATTAATGCTGCAAAACTGCATGGAAATCTGGATAAATGTGTATAGTATTGGAATTATTTACTTTGACATACTTTTAATTTTTAATTAAAAAGACAGGTTGGATCCAATCTGCCATGTGCAAAGTCATTGAAAATAGTTTTCTTAGTTTCCATTGATTCACATAAGTCTACTTTAAGCGTAATTAAATATGGGTTATAACTCAGTATATTTTGGGCATAGTTCGAAACTATTAAAACAGAGGTTCTCAACCTGTGGGTCGGGACCTCTTTGGGGGTTGAACTACCCTTTCACAAGGGTCGCCTAAGACCATAGGAAAACACATATTTTTGAAAAAATACAGAAAATATAAAATAATTTTATGGTTGGGGGTCACCGCAACATGATGAACTGTATTAAAGGGTTGCGGCATTAGGAAGGTTGAGACCCACTGTATTAAAATGTAATGTACCTCTAGATACTTTATATTGGAGGTAGAATAAAATAGAGAAAACAGGATTCAATTTTTTGTATATTTGTCTAGTGAAGTCAAATAACATTCTAATTAAAATAGTTTTGCATTGTTTTCAAATATACAAGTTCTCTATTCTAAAATTTTAATAAACTGGTTTTGTTTTCCAGATTCTAACCCTCTATGACAGTCTAGATGTTGTTGATGTAAATAAGATCATTAGTTATGTAAAAAGCTTACAGAAGGAAGATGGATCATTTGCTGGAGACATTTGGGGTAACTTGTAAAAGTATATTGATTTCCATTTTCTGATAAAAGATTTAAAAATAATTCAAAAGGTGTAACTTCCATATTTTTTCTCAGTTGTGCCTTCTTAGATCTATGATGAGTTTTTATATACATCTGACTAAATGTGATGTGTTTTACTATTTTAGCTCTAGAATTACTCTGAGATCTGAGATATAGTGCTTAATACTAACTACAGTTTGCATGAGTACAATTACTTTTTGTCACAGTCTTACTGTGAAAATATAACTTGGTTTTGCAATTCTATGTAAAATTTTAACAGCAGTAAGACTTGTTTAAATAGGAATTTGTATATATAGGACTGAATCTTTAATTTGTTAATATATTTACTTTTAAATATGACTATTTCTTAAAAAATGTTCTTATCTTATTTGGAGATATTTATATAAACAAGCTAACCTTGTCTATGATGTTACTTGAATTGATATATAAATGTTTTATTTTTGTATTTCTGAGCCTAACTTTTTTCATGTATAAAGCTGTTTTTATTTCTTCCTTTAGGAGAAATTGATACTAGGTTTTCATTTTGTGCAGTAGCAACCTTAGCCCTTCTGGTAAGTTCTTTGAACTCTGTGTGTGTGCGTGTGGTCAAGATATGTTTTCATATAATCTATATTTTGTTTTATTGGACATTTAAAAAAACCTTCCCAGAATATTATTAGGAATGTAACATTTAAAAATATTCCTAGAATGAAAAACTGGTATTAGCTAGGTTGTCTGGCAATGCCCAGAATTAAAGCTCAACAAAAGTGAAGATTCCAATTGGAATATGAAATTGGTATTATCTTCAGAGGAAGGAAAAAGAATAAAGCATAATGACTTAAAAGGACTATCTTTCTACCATTAAAAATATCAGTATTTGGTAGATGTCTTCAGTCCTTTGAGTACATGGTTAACATTGTTTGTTAGTTTTAACAAACACTATGTTCTGCATTTGGAGCAACTTGTTCATTCAGGCACTGGAAATTGAATTCACTAAACTAGAACTGAATCATGGAAATTAATCGAGTTGACTTTTGAATGTTTTTCTACCTATAGATGTGTCAAACTGAGTAGAAAACCATTGCAGAAGGAACACCTCTCTATTATACCCTGCAGATAACAGTTGTGTTTTCCTCTGCCATGTTGAGTAGCCGTCAGTGCTTAGTTGGGTTTTGCCAAAGAAGTAATTTTCAATTTGCTGCTTTTCAGGGGAAGTTGGATGCAATTGATATGGACAAAGCAGTAGATTTTGTGTTATCTTGTATGAATTTTGATGGAGGGTTTGGTTGTAGACCAGGATCTGAATCTCACGCAGGACAGGTAAATTATAATTAAATAATATGGTGAATTGTCTTTGATTTAAAGTTTTTTAAATTATTCATTAGTCCCCTAAATATTAAACACATATTAAATCTTTCTGCATAATGTTATCAAAAACCTGGATAAGCAAAATCTATTTTAAGAAAAGTAAGGTTATGATATCATTAATATTATCCATTGAGCCTGTGCATCTCTATCAATAAATTTAAGTTTTATTTTTAAACTTACTAGGTTAAATTTGTTTCATATTTTAATATTTAATTGAAAGCATGATAGCTAAAATTGAGGGATTTAATTTGTTGCATTAATTATATAAGTAATTGATAGCACACATTGCATTTTTCTTTGTTTTATCTGAATAGCTTTCTAAAATAGACATGAACTTTATATCTGTAATTTTAGATCTATTGTTGCACAGGATTTCTGGCTATAACTGGCCAGTTACACCAAATAAATGCTGATCTTCTAGGATGGTGGCTTTGTGAACGTCAATTGCCATCTGGTGGCCTTAATGGAAGACCAGAAAAGGTATAATTTGTGTGTTTTGTTTTTCAGAATTCTGTAGTTTGAGAGGGAGCAGAATTTTGTGAAAAGTGACTAATTGGTTCTAGCCATGTGTAAGATTGTCCTAAGACAACAGTCAGAATTCATTGATACTTCCGTTAACACTTAATATTTTTAGCAAGGATTCTTAATTCCTTAGAGGTGGTAACTTTATGCATTTGCATATAACCTTGAAACATTACTCTAGACCAGAGCTATACAACATACTAACCACCAAGCAGCATTGGGTCTCTTCTAGACATTCAGCATAATAAGGGAATAGCAGTAAAGTCATTTTCACTGTACATTTATGATATGATTTTTAAAAATTTGTTTTAATCTGTATTTTTAGTCATCTTGTTAACTATGCACATAATAAGCATAGGTCAATATTACATGGATTTCTCACAAAAAATTCTCAGATGAAAAATAGCAAGCAAGCATAATAAAATAATTTTAAGTAAACTATAGCTTAATTTTAATTGTGCATCAGTGGGAGAAGGAACAGACTTCCCCTATCTTCTTTAATTTTTATGCATGGAAAATAGCTTATTTTGACTTAAATCACATTATTCTTGCTCTTAACAATCACAATTGCTCTAACATACTGTGCTGTTATATCATTTGTCAGTTACCAGATGTATGTTATTCATGGTGGGTATTAGCATCCCTGAAGATAATTGGCAGGTTGCACTGGATTGACAGAGAGAAATTATGCAATTTTATCTTGGCTTGCCAGGATGAGGAAACTGGAGGATTTGCTGACAGACCGGGAGATATGGCAAGTAGTCTCAAATAGATTTGATTTTACTAAATCATAGCCGCATTTGATGCTTAGAAACACATGTTCATTTATTTCATATCTAGAAATCTATAACAAATGATGGTGTTCATTAGATTTTTTTTTTCAAATTAGATTAGTTCCACTTTAGTGGATGATTGAAAGATAACTTTATGATTAAATTTTGTTTCTAATCATAAGTAATTACTACTATGGAAATTTGTTACCAGAATTAAGGGTATAGCTAATCAAATACTTTGAAAAACTTGAACCAGTTAGAGGAAATCTATATAAAGAAAACTTCTGAATAAAATATCTCTTGAGGATGTAACCAAAGACTTCCAAATAAATGCCGGTAGATATAATAACCTTTAATCCTTGCTAAGATTTTATCCTAATCTGACTTTAGATATTATTTTAATTCAAAATGAGAAGTGGGGATACTGCAAGGAAAACCACTAGCCTATAAATAGATATATTGTCGAAAATATGTGGGGCCCTTAATAAAAACGATGGACATACTTAGTTTCACATTTAGTGTAGAAGTACTTCTTCCTGTCCCAAAAAAGTACAAATATAGGTTAGATGACTAAGAAATCTCCTTTTGGAGTATATGGGCAGCAGGGTGTTTTTTGTTGCCATTGTAGACATTCTGTGAATGGCTAAGCGCTTGAGCCATGTTATAAATAGCCAGTACTGCCACAACATTAAAAATATATATGAAATGGAAAATATATTTCATTCAAGCCCCAAACAAACTACAAATAGTCCTCGACTTACAACCATTTGTTCAGCAAGTATTCAGAGCTTATAATGATGCTGAAAAATGGAACTTACAGCCTGTGCCTAAAATTACAGCCAGTGCCAAAGCCAAGGTATATCATGCATGAAACATTATACCCGTGTTCTCAATGTTAAAAGTATTCCTATCAGTCTAGGAACCCATGCCTTTAGCTGCACTGAATTGGAAGTTCAGAGGTGATGGATAAAATGACAAACGATGAAGACATTCCCTACCATAAGAAAGAAATACAATAATTTCAACCTATAGTGAGCATAGACTTCTCTGAATTTTAGCATTATACTACAAATGAAAGTGCCCTGTTTCTTTAATATAATTATTAAATTATATACCTGAGAATAAAAAAAAAAGTTACAGTATTGTTGATACATTGTATTCTGGCTAATTAGTTTGCATTTCCTTTAATTAAAATCCTTTTATTTTTTCCTGGTTTTCTAAAAATAAGTTAATAAGATGTGCATTACCACTGTTCTTTTTTTAATTTGAATCTTCAAATTTATTTAGTATAGAAAACTGCCTAATCTTCTAAAATATACATATTATTCCATGTAAAATAATGTTTTCAATAAATATACCTTAATATATTCTAGGTGGATCCATTTCACACTTTGTTTGGAATTGCTGGACTATCATTACTTGGTGAAGAACAAATTAAGCCTGTAAATCCTGTGTTTTGTATGCCTGAAGAGATCCTTGAAAGAATAAATGTACAGCCTGAACTTATTAGCTAGGGTACAGTATGTATAAAAACTTTAATCAGCAGCTTTGAATTTTTCCATCAAGGCATTTCTAAATGTGTTTACATTTTAAATTGCCACTTTACTGTAAGCACTATCATTTTGTACATGTTACTGTACACAAAGTAAATAAACTGAGTATGACATGTACTTGAGGTTTTCAGTAACAGATGTATGTATTTAAGTATTTTGCCACCAGTGCTGCTTCATTTTGAAAATAACATACTATGTTAGGTGCAGTAGATAAATACTTGAATTATGACTATGATACAATCATTCATCCATCTGGGTGATAAGCAACAACTACTAGAATTGTCCTAGGCATTCCTTCTGTTGATAGAAATTTATTTGTTTATTTTGCCAGTGACACTTCATGCACTTGAATGCCCTTCAGGATATGCGATAATTAAAGCCAGTTTAATTTATTTGTCAAACCATAATAGAAGAAATACAATGGTATCCAAATAGTTACTCTCTATTAATGACATTCTTTAATGAAAACTCGTAATTATAATGTAACTTGGTTTTAACTAAAGGCCTTGCTGAATTCTACAACTTGTTTTCTTTGCTCTAAAATATTTATTGTACAATGTGGCTTGAATCCCAATTTTAGTAAACTTGGAATAATTGTATATATTCAAGAATAAAGTTGTATAAGATTGTTTTCTGCAAGAAAAAATACTTGTTTCCATTAGAATTATAGAAATGCCTTTATTTCATATGTCACAACTGCATTTGTAAGTTTATTGAAATCAAAGTATAAATAAATCTGTTTTGCTTAAAACAGATTAAAATTAATTATAATTATATACATATTTGTCCACAGGCCACTGGAAGTGAGAAATTTTCAGGCTTGAATTTTTTTTGATTTCTATTTTCAAAAAAGTCAGGGTATCTCACAAGAGTTTTTTATATCAAATATTTAGGTTCTACACTACATATAACTCATGTACATTAGACCTAGAAAGGCAACAATTGTTAAGTCAGAGTTCATATTATGTAAAAGCAGAATTGTACAAATGGATCCTCTGGTTATAATTATTTGTTCAACAACAATTCAAACTCAATGCTGAACAAGTGGTTTTGACCAGTTCTCAGTTTTTTGGCTACTGCAGTTTATCCACAGACATATTATCACAATCTGGACACTTGGTGCTATGTTCATGATCATGTCACAGCAAGCCACGGTTACGTGATCATGATTTCCAACATTCCCTACTACCTTCTGACAAGCAAAGCCAATGGAGAAGCCAACAGAAAGTTGGAAGTTATTGTGTAAAATTATGGCAACCAGAACTGCCATTGGTAAGTAGCATGGTTATAGGACATCACACTTTGCAACCACATCACTTAGTGATGGCAATTCCAGTCTCAATTGCTGTAAACCTAGCACTAGCTATATATTTTCAAAGTTGTATTTGATAACTTTTTCCCCAATAGCTAAAAGCACAGCGTGATGGAGAAGTGGATTCTCGGGGTACTGAATTCTGGGCAACTACAGAATTAAATATTCAGCTCCATATCAACTCTACTGATAGGAGATTACCGACTTTACCGATGGATGATTTATCATTTGTTTTCAGTCTATGGACAAAGATGGAATATTAAAATGGCTGCAAATCACCAATCCCAGCCATACAATCTTTTCTATTTTTTCATTCTGTGGAAGGAGAAAGTAAAATGGCGCTAAAAAAACAAAACCGTCTTCACCAATCTTTTCTGCAGCAATCACTCAATTTCTGTAATTTTAATTTTTAAAGAACTATACTGAGTTACTTTAAAAGTGGCCTAAGGATCAACCAAGATGGCTGCTTCCAATGAAGCTGAATTTTATTAAGTTACCTGGTCAAACAAGGGCGCCCATTTTCTAAACTCATAATCCTATAAATATTGTATATTTTTAATTTGCCTTATTGAAAATCAGAAGTTCTGGTACTAATTACTAACGTACACTGCTGCTAAACTGGCTTCAAAGAATATCAGGAAGCCTCTACCACCACTCATTTGTACTGAAGAAAATATCCATTGGTCAATTTGCAACTGCTGTATTTTTAAATTTTGGTGTTTTTTTTTAATATATTAGGAGAGGTGTTCCATCTATCTCATTTTTCCTCTGTTTAATCTACTTGTAGCTGGATTAGATTAGCTTGAAGTTGCAAGCAAGAGTTTGAAATTGGAGCATGAATGCTGTATTTCCCCTACAAATGCCAGAAAAAGATACATGCAAGGAAATATTATACTTGCTTAAAGTTCAGTATTTAGATTCCTAAATGCAGTGTTCTGGTAGTTCTGTCATCTCACCTGAATACAAAGTAAACTTCAAGACTGATACAATAGTAGTTATTGACAACAGCATTAAAGCAATCTTTGATTTAAGTCAGAACCCCAAATTGCAAATTGCAAATTTCGTTGGTTTCAAGTCTGACTGCTGTCTCATCACTCGTTTATAAACCAAACATTCAGTTTAGGCTTAAGTCCAGTTTCTCAATAGGGCTTATGTTTAATACTACAATTTTGATTCACTTCATCAAAAAAAAAATGGCTGAACTAAAGATATGCAATCTTCATCCCCAATAATGCTAACGGGTTACTGACAGCTCTGGGGGGAAGGCCTTATCTGGACAAAATCTAATTATAGAAGTTTAAGTAGTGTTACTATCATTTCCCTTAGTTCTAAATCACATTCTTTCTACAAATGAACTGCACTAGGAAGTTCCTTTAAAAAAAAAGTACAACTCTGGGCTAGTCTTAGGTAAAGGGATTTAAAGCTGTGTGGACTACAGTTCCCATCATCTGAAAGTGATGACGCGTCCTGCTGAAGCCTCCACAGTTAAGGGTACTTTTTCCTGGTGGGTTGTACAATTTTGAGATAACGGCTGAAAATGTTAATGGGGAGGGTGTGTGCTTAAATTATACTCTGTAATGTTCACGTGGGTAAGAAAGTTCTCCCCCAAGATTGAGAGAGCTCGGAAGAGAATTACTTTTTGTCACTGAGAGAAATCAATTAAATGGGAGATACCCCTCTTGTCTTTTTTGAAATAGTACAGTCCGCTGTCTCCATTCGAGGCGCGGGCTGATTTGAGGCAAACGGGGCGGAGGGCTCCTTAAGCCTCCCTCGCGCCTGGGTTTCCCAGAAGGGATCTCGGAATCAAGTGGATCATGGCGGAAGCGTTGGCTGCTTCCACCTCTTATTCGGGCCCATGCTCGTCGTCTTCTGGCCCCGAGCGTCAGCCCCGTTACCAGTTCGGTCTTCAAGAGACGCCGGCCTTGACCGACGAGCCCTCTCACCCTCCGCGGGGGAAAACGGCCCTCAGGGGCCCCAATGACGCCGCGGCCTTTCCTCCGAGAGGGTTGGAAGGTGGGCATTTCCATTGCCCGAAGAATGTCCGATAATCGCAGCCCCCGAAATAATGAAAATAACGCTCTCTTTTGGGCGAAAACCTCAATCCCCACCTTTCAAAGCTTCTCTAATATCTGAATGGGAAACATTAGCAATTAATTCTCAAAAGTTTAGATCTTTTTGTAGCAGTTTCGTTTACCCAGTTCTTGAATGGGGAAAACTGCAAAACTTCCATTCTTATTTATCGATTAGACTTTCATCCCACCTTTCTCACCGCATTAGTATGGATAGTCCTTGACATACAACAGTTAGTGACCATTCAAAGTTTACAATGGTACTGAAAAAAAATTATGACCGTTTTTCACAATTACAATCTTTGCAGCATCCCCATGATTGTGTGATAAAAATTCAAATGCTTGGGAACTGACTTGCATGTGTTCCTTTTGCAACCTTCTGATAAGCAAAGTCAAATGGGGAAGCCAGATTCACTCAACAACCGATTTACTAACATCAATTGCAGTGATCTATTTAACAATGGAGGCAAGAAGGGTTGTAAAATGGGGCAAAATTCACTTAACGTGTCTCACTTAAAAATAGAAAATTTTGGGCTAAATTGTGGTCGTAAGCCGAGGCCTAACTGTAATTCAA